TTCAGTTCTGGTTGTAGATAATACCACAGCTTATACAATACAGCTCCACAACTCCGTGTCGGCGTCTTTGATCTGGCGGTCGAGAACCAAGCAAGACGGAATGGTGCTCTCTGTTAGATTCGAGGGAAAAGTCGGGCCCGGATTAAACAATTTTTTTATTATTGAAAAAATTGAAAACCTTGGCACGTAATAAGGTTGGTTACATGCCATATTAAGTAAGTTTTGGGAAATTAAATTCTTAATTTGTTTTAAATCTGTCAAATATAATTAAAAAAATTATTAAAATATAAATATTACGAAAAATAGCACATCTTTCGGATTAGAGGTAAAATAATTTGTATGTCGCTAGTAAAATCCTCGTTAACAAATGTTTTGAGCTAAGACAGTCACTTCACGACAAATTGTGGCTTGGATCCTTTTTACACCAAGGGCTTCAATTGTTAAAGAATTTTGTCACGCTCGTGGATGCAAATCAAGTGGTACCCCGTGTGTCTGGCAAGTGTTACTCTTCGTGCAAAGGGTTAATACCTAGATAAACGAATGCTTCGACTGAGAGGTCTGGGAACTCTATGGTATTTTGGAATTATAAAGAATTTGTGCTTTTATTTTAACAATATTGGTTATATTTCGATGTATTCTTATTAATTGAAATACAGATTTGTAGAAGTAATACTTTGACAGTTTTTATTAATATAATATATTCAATTTAGTAGGGAATTTTGAAACTTTATAGTAATGTGAAATTTGAATTACAATATTACACGAAATTACATAATTAATACTTATTTTAGGTAGGTACTAAATTTGTACTTGGAGAAAGTAATATCGATTTTTACAAGAAAACTTGAAAAGTAAATTAATTTAGTTCCTATTTTTGATGTAAAACTTAAACCAAGAAAACAAATAAATAGTAGTTTGTTCAACAAGGGTGGATATGATAGCCATATCACACAAAGACGAAGTTTGAGCACGACGTCGTAGGCGGAGTACTCAATCATCTGATTGTGATATGAACAATCCACTCGATGTGGTCAGTATATTTTTTCTACGACCCACTAACGAAAATCTACAAATTTAAAAAATTATTTTAGGTTATTTAGACAAAATAACTAATTTTAAAATAATTTATAAAGTTGACTAATTTATAAAATAAAATAAACATGAAAAATTAATTAGTCCTTGGCCTAGATTCGATTCCGGGCTTTTCGCGTGGAAGGCAGATGTTCTATCCTCATCTTCACCGAAACTTTCAGGACTTTAGTTTTAATACTCGTAATTAAATTAGTATCATGTAGTTTGATTAAAATTTATTTTTTTTAAATGTGGATACAATAAAAATAAAAATGCTATTATTTATCGAGTCTACACAAAAATTTTAATGTATATTTAATATCAATAACTAAAATATATACTGACAATTAGTTTAACAGAATTGTCACTTATTTAAAAAATTTTAAATAATAGGAGTTGGGTGACCAAAATATGAACTGTGATTTGTAGATTTAATTTTGTTAAAGTGTTTTCACTACCTACAATGGATATGAAATATATTCGTAGTTGAACGCAATAGCTTACTTTTTCGTTTTGTAGTATGTTCGTAGATTGGCTAATATCCATGCACAGATTACAAAACGAAAAAGTATGCTATTGTCTTCAATTGAACGAATATATTTCATATCCATTCTAGGTAGTGAGAACACTGCAAAAAAAATAAATTCGCCAATCACCGTTCATATTTTGATCAACCGACTGCTATTATTTTTAAAATTTTAAATAAATGACAATTCTGTCAAACTAATTGTCAGTATATTTTTTAGTTATTGAGATTAAACATACATTAAAATAGGTTATTCTTTTGTAGAACGTTAACATGGATGACTAAAGGGTATTGGGTTAATTAATTCTAAAAGTGTGGTACAAATGTTATTTTTTATAGCCAATTCTTCAAAATTATTTTAGCATATTAGTTAGTTAGTTAGTTCTACAAATTCATCATTTGACAGTTGCAGATTTCCAAATGTATCTGAATTGGCGTTATCATATGCCTTTAAAAAGCAATAAAAAGAAAAATCATCTAATTCAACGTGATCTTTATTATATTTAAGACAGGTATCACAGGAGTATATCTGCAAGGCTTTAATTAAAAGGTAACCACACACATACCTGATAAAAAAAATTTGTAGCAACTCGTCTTTACAATAATTTAGGGTGTTAATAATTTCATCATAAATTCCATTTAAAAAACATACATTTTAATTTGCCAGGCAAAAACGTGGCACCCTGTATATCCAAAGATATTTTTAAAATATGTAGGTATTTTTTAAATCCATATAACTTTTATTTAAAACTTTTTTGCGTGTCTACAACAAAATAATGAATAATAACGCACTAATGGAACACCCTGTATAAATTATATTTTTAACAATGAAAATTTCTTATAATGTGATACTTATCGGTTTGGGTCCTTGGGAAAACTAAAGAATGTTTTCTTGCAGGTATAACCCTTATTAAAACAGCTTTTGACTGCACAAACAGAATGATGTCTTTTTTTTCACTCATTCTACTCACAGCTAAAGAGTCACCAAAATAATAACAGTACCTTTAACTCAAAGAAAATCAACGAAATTATAGGCTCCACGAAATTATACAATCAACGAAATTATACGCAGGACTCAACACCTTACCTAAGTACGCTTCTGAACGCCAAAACCGTCTTTTCCCTCCGAAGGCGGAGCTTAAGCGATGCGCGACGAAATCGACGCAAACCGTTGCTGCCAAGAGAGTGTTTTAGCTGTATTGTATAAGCTGTGATAATACTTCTTACCACAACGTGAAAACTGAAAAAGTATTACTTCAGCATCTAGGAAAGCAGAAATGTTAGAATGGCTTAGGGCCCACAAAATTGACCATGATGCCAATAAGACAAAACCCACTTTATATGAATTAATAAAAAAATGGGTAAGTTATTCCTGTTTCCTATAAATTGGACTGTACTGAAAGAACATGGTCATAAAGTCTTAGGGTTACCACCTTATCATTCAGAATTCAACCCAACAGAAAAAATCTGGGCACTGGTTAAGAACTGGGTGGCAGTGCACAATACCACATTTATACTGGACATGTAGAGAAATTAGCCAGGAAGAAATTTTCTGAAGTTTCTGATCAAGAATGGTATTTTATTTGCGAACATGTAAAGAAATGCGAATCTGAATGGATTAAAAAAGAACACATTCTGGATAATGCTGTAGATTCTCTTGTGTTTACTGTAAATTCAGGATCGTCTGATAAATCTACTTCAGAGGATGATTGCAGCAGTGACAGCACTAGGAGTATTATGGAATTGCTTAGTGACTCTGAAAGCGATTAATAATACAAGAAATAATTTTTAACCGACTTCAAAAAAGGAGGAGGTTCTCAATTCGTCGCGATAATTTTTTTTATGTATGTTCAGCGATAATTTTTTAACACGGTGTCCGATTTCAATAATTCTTTTTTTTGTTAGAAAGGGGCTACTTCAGGGGTGATCCCATATACGCCACTGCTTTTTCTAAAAACCAAAATTATCTTTAAAATCCTTATTTATTTTGGAGCAAATTTAGTTTATTGATGTACTTTCGTACGACGCAACCTTTTCGCGTAAAAAAATGAATACCAAAAAATTTTCTTTAAGTTTATTGAAATTGCTTTTTATATTTTGTTGAAATTTGGAAAGAACCCACCATGAGTGGAAACACTTTTTCTTGGGCAAAATTTCATAATATCAAGACTGATAAGAAACTTATGATAAAATAGTTATTTTTTTTTAATACTATACCACCCTGTAACTCAAAAATTAAGAGGTTTACGACATAAGTTGATATTAACTTTTCTTCTTGGAATCACTCAAACATTCACACCTTTGAGTATCGGCACTCAATTAATAAATACCATGTATTAACTGATATTACCTTATTCGAAACAATAGTCTAATTTTTCGTTATTTGTAGGTTTTATTTTGCCCATCTTTCACAACTCTATGCTTCTAAATGTAATTTGATCTAACTAAAGCTATTCACTAAATTAAAATAATATAAAACCGTCTACTAAATCGAACTGCGTTATAACAATATATCACAATGCAGCAAGAAAAACAAATACGATTCCGGTTTCCCTAATTTAGGTAACTCTGACTCACTCAATAACTGATGAACGTCGGCAGCCGTGGTAGGATTTTTCGGTTCCTTTGTCTCAACTTCGCCCGTTAGAGTTTAGAATATGTATCACTCGTATATACATGCAATTGTTAAAATTATAAATGAATGCGGATTTTGTTTAGTCTCGGAAGTAAGTTTGTAGTATTTAGGCTCCACCCTCAAGTTATAATTTTTATACCTACTAAACTACCGTTGCCCCGTAGGTCTTTCAGTTTGTAATGTAAATTTTCCTCTTAAAACATGATAAATTAACATATTTTCCTACGACTCAAAAAAAGTCGGTTTTTTTGCGCCACCCTATATTTAAATTTGAAATAGTTACGCTACCGATTTGAAGTCAAACATCAAATTTATGATATGGCGCTGGTTATGACACGTTCGCGCATACGACTGCAACTTCAGGTGGGTTCTTCTCTCGTGAAACGGATTCTACCACCTTGTCCGATTTCTTTGATTCTTTTTTTGTTCAATATCTGGTGATGGCATGTGCACGATTTTGAAGTCAGTTTTTTAAAATTACTTTTTTAACTTGTATATGTAAATATCTATAAATTTATGAAATAAAACAAATGAGGAGAATGCCCCATTATTTGCTTTTGCAATTAATAAGATAAAATATTGATATTCAGTGTAAACTTAAAAATACGGTCTTATAAACACCAATGAAATTATTTCGAAATCTACTTCTGATTTTTCCACACAAATAGCGATCTTGGACGTCATCAAATTTAATATTGTTACTTCAAAAAGAACCAAACTAAGTTTCTCTGCTATTTTTTCTCGTACAGTGGAAATGTATAAACTTACAAAAATCGCACTTAAAAGGTGGTCCCGAAAAATGTGTTTTCATGTGGTTCAAATAATCACCATGGTATTGACATACAAAAGAACACAGACCACATTTGTAGGTTACATTTTTAGCATGACTTAATGCTAGGTGTTGTTCGAGTAATAGGCTATCATTTATTGTGGTTAAACAAATAGGGCACTTAATGCCGATTTTTTCATCTAACTCTTGAATAACTACGGAAAAAGTATTAAATTATTAATTATTTAGTTAAAGGGTCCACAAATTTTCTTATGAATTAAGATCACCATTAAGATCACCAACAGAATAAAATAAAGAAAATCCTTGCAAATCCACAAATTTGGTAAACCTTTCATGGCCAAAGTTTCCAATCTGTGTTTTAAACTATACTGGGTTAACAAAATAGATATGGACAACTTTGGCACTGAAAGATTTGGGTATTTTTATGAAGGTATGCACAATACCAAATTTGTAGGTTAATTTAATTTTACCATTTCAAAATTAATGTTCTCAGTTATGATTTCACTAAATTCAAAAAACTTTATAATGCTGAAGAGATAATTAAAATAATTTTCAAATACACATGACCCTCTTTCGTGTTATAAATTTTTGAGGGAGTGCTTATATTTTAGAGGGGATATATGAGATTAAGAATAGAAATCGACCGGTTTCAGGTTTTTCACAAAAGTACATAACCCTAAAAATGAATTTATTCCATACATATGGACAGTACAGTATGTAAAATTATCAGTGTGTATTTAAAAATACAAAATATTTATTACCTTCAGTATCTTCTTTTTCATCTGTCATTGATAGTGACCTTCTCTTTAAATTTAACATTTTCAAAGCTGACATTCTAATGTCCGGTTTTAAACCCAACAATATTAATTTCTTCAAAAGAATCTGTTGCTTCTGTTTTAGTTTTGGTTTCACTAGTAATGGTTCTTTCTTCTCGGATAATTTTGCATCTGTTCTATCTATATCTGTTATTTTTGACTGTTTGATATCAACCATACATTTTTCATGCAAAAGCTAAGGAATAAATTAATAAAACATTATTACATAAATGTTTCAAAAATAATAAAGGAAAAACAAAACTATCAATTTTTAACAGTTTATACAGGGTGTCCAGAAACGCTCTTCAAAGAATGAAACCACGAAATCTAGAGCTGATTTTATGACGATTTACCCAAATTACCTTAATCCAAAAATGCTTCCTAAGGGAGCTAGAGCTCTTTGAAGATAGCGCTCTAAAATTGGATTAATTGAAATACCTTCAAAATGGATTTTTATTAAATGATATTATTCTGTACATTTATTTATTTGAATCTAAGCAATCAAGTTTCGTAAATATGATTTTTTTAATGTATTCATAAGCGGCTCGTTTGGGTGGGGTATTGGATATTTTTATTCAATTTTTTTTGTCTTTCGAAAAGTCGCCATTTTGAAATCATATTTAAAAAATTTCGTTATTTTCACACAAAAATGATGCTCTTGACTGAAGTCTATTTTCGAGAAAAATCGATTTAAATTTTTCATGTGTTCCATTGACTAACAAATAAATTTCTATATGCAATCCAATGTCCCAAAACACCGACATAATTATTAACACACATTAAAATCAAAATAATTGTACAGCTTTATGTTTAACTTAAAATATCTCAAAAAATAATAACTTTATCGCTATAAAGAAAGAGTACAATATTTTTGTAGGAAGTTTTGGAGAATCTAAAAATTGTGATAAAATTGCAATTCCGCCAGTGGCGTAGAATTTTGGAAAGGATTAACCAGTCACTTGTCCCTGTCGTACGCCTCTGATGGTAGCCAGAAACGTTTATTTAACATAATTTAGTAATGTGTATGTATAGTATCTACACTACCTGCCAGAAATGACAATAATATATCAAATAGTTTTAAAGTACTGGACATAAATAATTTTTAAATTTTTAAACAAAACACCCTGTAACTCAAAATGGAGACACATTTTATCTAGGTGATTTAGATTAAATCTTCATAATTTCAACTTAGGATTCTATAGTTGAAATATTTCCAATTAGTAATGAATCACCCTGTATAGTACTTGTATACTTCCCCACTATAATTATTGCTCAACAGTGTTATACTTGTTTATTTATTTATTTGTATCCAAACAGGCCAACGGCCTTGTTACATGGATAAAAGTAGCATTAATAATAAACAGTAGGTAATTACAACTAATATTACAACTTATTTAGTATTAAAATTAATTAAGAGTAATGTAATAATTAAATACAAGTTTACGGAACATATTAAATGGTAGTGTCCAGTCTACATCAATACAAGTGTAAATATTTGCCAGTCGGAGCATGGTCACAAGAGGTGACCTGGCAGTGGTAAGAACTAATGGAATATTAAACATACATGGATGTCTCATTCTCCAAGTATAGTAGCTCAGGTGAGTTAATTTTATAGTTAATAATTTTATATAAAAAAGTCAACATTATGATATTCCTTCTGGTGTGAAGAGAAGGTATATTAAATTCTTTTCTTAGGTTTGCAGTTCTAACAATATTGTAGTCTGGGTATATATGGAGTTTTTTGAAATAAAGATATCTAAGAAATTTATTTTGTATTTTTTCAAGCTCATATAGATTAGTTGGATGTTCGCCCATCCATACCTAAGCTCCAAATTCAAGTTTTTGTCTAACTAGAGCATAATAAAGAATTTTTATAGATTCTATGTTAGTAAAACTTCTAGTTTGCCTAATTATGAACCCCAGCATTCTATTTGCAGCCTTAACTATATTTTTTACATGATTAGAAAAAGATAGAACACAGATAATCGTAGGTTATACCTAAGTCTTTTACCTCTGAACGTCGTTCTATTAATTCTCCATTTATAAGGTAATCGAAAATAACAAGATTTTTCAATCTACTTATTGTCATACTGCAAAATTTTTTTGTATTGAAATTTAATTTATTTTTATAACACCATTCATTTATGTTGTCTAAATCTTTTTGTAAACTCACACAATCCCTAACAGTCTGTATTTTTTAAAAAAATTTAAGATCATCGTAAACTTCAGTATAGATGGTAAATCATTGATAAAAACTAAAAAAAAGGAGGGGTCCCAAATTGGAGCCCTGTGGCACTCCACTATATGCTATAAATTTTAAATTTAATAAAAAGTAGGTAAAGACATTGAATAAATCACTGCACTAAGATTCAAATAGCAAGAAAAATTATAAATATATTTCTATACATTCTCCTAATATGGTAAATGCAAACTGACGTCTCAGTTTCAAAAACTTGTACAGAATCATATTAATAACCGATAGATACAGTGTTAAGCAAGCAAATGAAAAGAAAATTAAAAAAACAAATTTATTAATATAATTCGGACACTTTCCTAAATTGGTAATTGCAAACTAGATTAGTTTCAAATACTTATCCAAAATTATACTAACAGATAAAGAGAAATGTAAAGAGAAAATTATGTTAACTAGGAAATTAGGTAAAAAAAATTTAGTAATAAAAAAATACTATTATAATAATAATAATAATATTACCAAAAATTAAAGTAGCTATTACACAGTATTGCTTTAAAAAAAATAAGCAGTAGCAGACAGTTAAAAGTTAGAAGGTAATGTCTGGTCTGACTCATAAATATTCCAATGGTGTAAAAGGAAAAAATTGACTACAGGCGGTATTACTTGGTCGTGTAGGTAATAGCAGAATAGTAAAAAGCCAGATACTAATTTTTAGTATTCTGGCCTGACAGTAAATATTCCAATGGTGTAAAAGGAAAAAATTGACTACAGGCGGTATTACTTGGTCGTGTAGGTAATAGCAGAATAAAATGCTAGTATTAATATTCTGGTCTGACATTAAATATTCTAATGGTGTAAAAGGAAAAAATTGACTACAGGCGGTATTACTTGGTCGTGTAGGTAATAGCAAAATAGTAAAAAGCCAGATACTAATTTTTACTATTCTGGCCTGACATTATTTTTTAAAATTTAGTAATATTTTAATTTATTAAAAGGAACGGTATGGAAATCAAGGAAATTACAGAATATATTATTCACTGTCAGAAGTATCATTATTAACGTTAGGTATGACTTCATTATCAGCATCCGCAGATAAATCGTAATCAATATCAACGAAACTTTTTTAAAAAAAATTTACACGATAGGCACAAAAATCAACTTTAGGTAAAAATCCATAAACTATACACTTTTATCAGTGTATAATGAATATATAGATATATCACTAGCAAAATATGTATAAATAAATATGTGTAAATATGTATAAATAAACACTGGACCTAGTACAAAATGCAGATATTATATAAAACTTGACGATACAATATGTAGATTTATAGAAAAGGTTAAAATAAAAGGTAAGAAAGTACAAGACATGCAGTTAGTTTAGTTAACCTCTGTGAAATACCTATGGGAATTAGAATGATAAGTTATAAGGAAACTATTTCAAAGTTAACGAGCTATTTAACCCAGTCGAGGCGCCATTTTTGTAACGTGATCTCTAGTTATTCTATCTACTTTTTTAATGTGTTTGAGCTCAATTGATTGGGCGTGAGTTAGGTTATTAAATAACTCGAATAACTTTGAAAAAGAAGTTGGAGACCACTATATTTAAAGCTTACTATACTTGACTTTAGATTAGTGATAAAAATATAGAAAATCACTAACCACTAACAAATTATATTTAAACCATGCTTTAGATAAGGTAGATATCAAATTCTAATTCACATAGTTTTACTAAATTCAAATTTAAGATGATTTATTAAATAAAACTTAACTTTTGGTAAATGGAGGTATTATAAGAAATGTTTTATCACATGGTATATCCTCAGGCAACTTCCTCAAAGGGATTCGGAATCCTTATTCGTAATTCTGCAACGTGAATGATCTCGTGATATTTGGTATTCTAACTTAAACTCGAAATTGTCTAGATCTTCTAGAGATGAATCAAACAACGGTCTTCAGATTGTATCAAAACCAAAACAAACTTCTAGGTATAAAACCCATAATATATCTTGAGAGGAATTCAAAACCGTCTAGATATAGCCATGCATATAAAATCAGACGGATTTTACGATAGATAAAAATCATTTAGTACATCGGATGACCAAGATATATTAAAATTCAAATCAAGTTGATTCGTTGACATCCAAGTCAAAAATAATTCTCACAAGACGAATCAAGGAAGAAGAAGACGACAATGACATTTGAGTAAGAGATGATTGTGTTGAAATTACGAATAACGGTTCCAACAATTACAAAGTCATGACTCTAACCACTGAGCCAACCCACCCCCTAAAATTAATACATACATTTACTTTTTGGTATGAAAAATAGCAAACTAATTTTGTTTGACAAATTCAAACAATTTCTCAAATTTTAATATTTTATCACTCATTTCAGTGAACTGTAACAAAAATATAAACATTCTTCAATATAACAAACAAAAACAACAAAAAATAAGGTTACAGCTTAGAGTATATAATTTTTCCACTAAAACCCAATGTGCACTGTAGTGTACAAGAATATTAGACGACCGTATAAAAAAATAAACAAACTTTTAGTCCTACTAATTTATTACACGTTGTCTACACACTATTCACTGTAACAAATAATGTGTTTTCAGTAAATTATGTAAGCATGTTGCGACATCTACACGATAATTTCCTTACTCTTCGCTTGCCGCTGACAAAACAACTTCTTAAGATTATAATTTTCAAACTCCAGATCGTCACGTAAGGTTACGTTGATTCTGTAGGGTACACAGAAGTGCACAGTAGGAGCCGAGAATACCGATCAAGGAGAAGCGACAGTAGCTGTCGGTGCCTTTGATAACGGATGTACCTTTTTCACAGTATGACTTTGACTGATACACAACTTAGCACGCTGAGAAAACATGCTTATTTTCTACACTGAGCGAAATAGTTTGGCAAATTATCTGAAATTATTGTTATAGTCCATGCGTAAATGTTGCAATGTGATTTAATTACATTGAAGTAAATAGGGTTAATAGCAATGATGAAATTTCGGCACCAAAATATAATTCATTATGTAATAATTAATTATTTATTATAAAAGTAAAAGACCTTTATTATTTTATAATTTATCTATAAAATTTGTTGGTTTATTTATTGTTAAAAATGTAATAAAAGCCCCATGTTTAAATTAAATTACCTTTTCCTTAACTAAAAATAAGGTAAATAAAATGAAGGGTGTCAAAAAAAATGTAGGTAACAATTAAAAAATTATTAAGTTTGAGAGGTTTAACTAAATATTTGCAATGTGCATATATTTTCAAAGCTTTTAGGTTTAAAAAGTACTTACATATTTTTAGAATTTCTAGATTTATATTATATTAAAAGGACTTTCAAGTTTATCACTCATTTCTGTAGAAACAAGTGTTTTCTCGCCAAGTTAAACCAGATGTCATTTAAGGTTTATGTATTTAGAGTTAAATACCTGGCCTGGCTATTACCCAGATAATACAAATATGTCCATTGGACGTCCATTCGATATACAATTTTGGATGTCTAGACGTCCAAAAATGAGTTTTCTGTACTTCCGACATCCAATGGACGTCCAGTGAAGTATACAAATGGCACACTTTTGACCATTCGGAGGACGTCCAATTCTGGAATATATTTGAACGTCAAATACTGGACATTCAAAAAACGTCCAGGATTATATTTCCATTGAGACCACATCCCCACTTTTTTACAGAAACGCAACTCACCACACAATATTTTATATTATTAATAATTTGTTTATTATTTTCGCAAATGGCTATACACCATTTATTTATTTTTTATTAAAAATCGCTTGACCTGAGCAGGAATCGAACTCACGATACATCCATTATCATTTTACGCTTTCAATCGCTAGACGAGCTCGACCAAGGAACCACTTGAAAACTTTTTACTAGATACAGTTATAATTGAATAAGATTTCAAACTTCCGCTGATAGAATGAAATGCAATAGATTCAATTTGTCAATTTTTAATGAACATTTATATTAAAAAAAAAAAGAAGTATATCCCCATAGCACACGGACGTCTTATGGACGTCTAAAAGACGTCCTTCAGGGACATAAAGGACGTCCGAGGGACGTCCTCTTTTGGTACCGGGGCGTCAATCGGACGTCCAATGGACGTCCTATTGTCCCGTTTCCGTCCATCTTTGGGACGTCCCTTGGACATCCCAAAAGGACGTGGACCAACAAGGGACCAAATCAGGACGTCCTATTTAGGTCCAGGACCAACCGGACCAACAAGGGACCAAATCAGGATGTCCATGGGACGTCCTGTGCTATCTGGGATATAGATGGGTATTATCTGGTAGGCTTAATAAATAATGACCTAAGATGGACGTCCACTGGACGTCAAAATACTACTGAACTTAAAATTAAGTCCAAAAACAGACGTTCTCTGGGTATCGATATTCAGCTGTCAATTTAATTAGCATAAACGGACGTACACTGGATGCCCGGATATGGACGTCCTGACCCTCAAATAGATCTAAAGTGGACGTACATTGGACTATGTGTGCATAGACGAATTTTTAGAAATAGTACTTATTTAAGTATGCACCAATATTTCCAAAATCAACTCCAGTATGATTCATTCAATAAATGTAAATATGAATGGGCAAAACATCTTTATATTGACATAATTGTTACTTACAATTTAGCCATAATAAAGGGATTTTGCCCACTTTGACCAATCCTAATTGAAATACGCGAATTTATTATATTTTTTTAAATATAATTTCAAAATAAAATAAACAAAATCTGCAATTCATTGTTTATTAAATTTATTTAAAAGAAGGAAAACATATATTTCACAAAATACAATACCTACATATGAAAAATAAAATGTCAAAAATGATTAAATCATTATACTTAATATTTATGCATGTGATAAAATTCTTAGTTTCCTAATAACTTTTTTGGCACATTTTATATCTGTATTAGAATACCTAAGTGTGTAAAAATCTTCATTTCATTACTACACAAAACAAACACCAAAAAATATCACTTAACATTGCTCACGTACTAAACACAACTTGAACCACATACTTTGATTTTCTTTTACTATACGGAGAATGGTCGCACTGCGCAGCTTTCTGAGTGCCTTTTAAAAGGAGATAGAAAACTCCGCCATTTTGAACCCTTATTACGTGTTGCCTACATCTTGGCGCAATATTTTTAATAGGTGCGTTTTAATCATCCGTTTCTGCTTCGGAATTGTCGGTTTTCTTGTTTTAATCTGACAGGTTAAAACGACTAAACATACAATTCCGGAAGCAGAAGCGGATGATTAAAACGCACCTGATATTTTGCTTGCTGCTGTCAGTGTCAGTGAATATTATTTTTGAAGTCACAGTTTATTGCTAAAGAATCAGTTAGCTCACTCGGACCAGTTGAAAGTTCCAAAATAACATCCACTCCAGGGATACAAATTCAGGATACGCAGAAGACTGCTGTTTTATTGTAGGCGGTTGTCATATATTGTATTATCCGAGTTGCACAGTGTATAAACTGAAACATTGAGATCAAAAGTGCCGACTCAGAGTGAGCGATCTGATTCTTTAGCTGTAAACTGTGTCACAGGGTTCAAAATGGCCGCGCCCTATGTTGGGCGTGTCGGACCTCTCTCTTGCCTCGTATAGTAATCATACATTGCGTTCGGTCTGCCAAGTTCCTTTAACTCCTTTAACACTTTTAACTCCAAACGACCCTTTTAGCGTTCGGTTTAGTCCCATTAGTGACAGTTTAACACGCTTAAATGTCATTTAAAAGCACCCTAAAATTTGTCCCACTCCAGCCCCTGACTATCCGAACTCGCCTAAAGTATGTGACTTGGACTGACTTTGACAGATAACATAATTTTGAGTGATACACAACTTATTTTCGCACATGCGCGTTACAAAACGGTACACTGAAAACACCAAGCTGTCGCTTCTCCTTGATCGGTATTCTCGGGTAGGAGTAAATGGTTAAAAATGGATTTTGGTTCATATTTACAAGCGTGTAACTTTGCGTGCACTACAGTGTACGCCTGGTCCGAAAGGGTTAAAACGATTTTTGTTGGAACCGCCAGTTTGTAATATACCTTGATTAGTTTATTATTATTATTATTAGAAGTGTTTAGTGTAAATTGTCAAATTATTTTAATATTTGTGAAATTTTTAAAATTCTAAATTGTCCCATATTTATTTTAACTTGGATATATTTGTATTTATACACTTTGTACCTAATTAATTAGTTTGAGACTAAATAAATGATTTATATAGAACACAACATAAGAAAGTACCATTTCATGCTGGAGCTTATCTCTAAAACCTGTTTCCTTTTAAATGTAGGCTGTTTCCACTCTTTGAATGAATTTATAAATTGTTTTAAAATTTTTATTATATTTTTACGTGACTGTGTGAACATTGTATTTTATTTATCTATGTAACTTTTGTGATCTGTCTCATTTCATCGTAAGATGATCTAAAAGATTAATAAAAATATCTATCTACATAATTTTTAGATTTATATGTATACTCTGTTTATTATTTTTTATATGTGTATTAGGATTCCTAATTTAATAAAAAAAAAAGATCTAAATACCTACTACAACTAATACTCAAATGGGTAATGTTGTAGTTCAAGGATCTGGAAAACTCGCGTATCAGGGACAACACTAATCATTTGTATTTGTATATCAGTCTCTTTTTGACAGAGTAGGTGAGCTGTGTCCAGGCCGTTGGTGTTTATGCAGGTCGGCGTAGCCAGGTATGGATTGAAATTTTCTAACCCTACGAGAAGTCGTTGCTTCGTCTTCTTGTTGTCACAGCATTATTATTATTATTATTATTTGTTTATATATGTGAAATTTGCTTCTAAGGTTTATAAAATACTACTGCTAATCACGGCGTAAATGAAAACAAACAAGACGCATTCACACAAACACCTCCCACCACAGCAATTACAAATGATTAGTGTTGACCCCGATACACGTCATTTCTAGACCCGTCAACTACAACATTACCCTCAAATGAATAAATAATAAAAAAAATAACATCAAAGATTAAATTATTATTATTTCTAATTTTACATACCTGTCCATATTTTACTTGTAATACATCATATCTAGTTTTGAAATTAGATAGCATCCAATTATTAGTTATGAGATAATCTAGAATTTTGTACAAACATAATTCACTCTTATTATATAAAGTACTCATGTCCAAATGATGAAAAACTTCCACAGGCTCCAGATCATTGGTAGGGAAACATCTGACAAGCAAATCGAAATCTTTTTCACGTTTTTCCATGTCTCTTAGCACCCACTGCGAGAGTAAATTCAAAGCTTGGTTTGTATTTAAAATAAAATTCTGAAATTAAAATACTTAAGTATTAAAAACAATGAAAATCTGGCGAATGATAGAGGGGAGTAGATGTAGATAGAGTGTTCAATAGTCTGATTGAGAAACGGACAAGTTGTACAGTATATTTAAAGTTTTTTAAATTAAAACTTCTTAATGTGAGTGATGGTCTTATAAGTCTTAATTAAAAATTCCTTCAAAGCAAAACTCTAGTGTTAAAATATATGACACATTTTCAAGTTTTACTGCAAATCAAGGTGACTCTCCTCTCCTGTACAACAAATACTGCTTTAATTTTCCCTCCGGTTAGTTATACCCTAAAGCAGTAAATTATATCCTACAATACACAGATTGTATGGCTCTGGTATCTTATGGAAATACGCTGCATCAAACCATTACAGCACTACAAAATCAATATGGCAAAGTTGCTCAATGGTTTAACAAATGGAGATTACAAGTGGACCCACAAAAATGTCAATTAATGATACCCTATCATGAGCTAAGACCAACATCCCCTAGACTCATCATATCTAACCAATCAATTCATCACATTTTCTTAGAAAAAACCTAGGCCTTCTTGAAAAGTTGAACTTCAATGAATACTCGCAGGTAAAAAAACAAAATCATACCTAGAATCAACAATAACATTTATGTTCCTTAACATTAAAAAAAGAAGGCATTAACACCTATACGGCCACTAAATCTACAAAACAATATGCAGACACTATCTATTTAAACTGCCAAAGAAATGCATTAAATACTGGCAATCATTACCAAGATGTAACATCCAGGAAATTCCACATGCCAGCGAATGAATATCACATTTATTGGAATCAAAGTAAAACTTTTAACTTTGACATATTGAACCCTGGATTGCAGGTAACTTTCTAACCATTTCATTAAGTAGTTTGGAAACCCGAATTTCACTAGTTTCCTTAAAAAGCAAAGCAAGGTTCACCGTGTCAAATGCCTTCGAGAAGTCAGTGTAAATTGAGTCAACCTGACACCCCCTCTCGAAGGCAGAAATGATATAATGTTCGTAGAGCAATACATTTGTATTAGTAGAATTACCTCCCATAAACCCATGCTGTTGTTCAATCAAAATGTTTTTGCAATACAATGACAAAGGTTTATATAACAATAATTCTAATAATTTAGGTATTGCAGAAAGTAAAACTACAGGGCGATAGTTAACTATGTCATCTTTCAGACCATTTTTAAATATGGGGGCAATGAAACTATCACGCTATTTTGCAGGAAACTGTTGTAATTTCAAAGAGGAATTAAATAAAAACTATAGTGGTTTGGAAAGAGTGAATTTACATTTTTTCAAAAAATAAGCAGGGATTCCATCTGGTCCATAACTCAATTTATCTTTTAGGGAGTTAATACCATCATAAACATCACTTAAGGAAAACTGTATAAAGGGAATATCAGGCTGGTTAAAAGCATTATAATGAAGGTATGGCTCAACTACAATATATTTCTTATAAACACTGGAGAAATTAGTAGCAAACAAATTACTGATGTCTTTCCCATTATCAGCAATTGTACCATTATAATACATTCTATTGGAAATACCATGGTCTTGTTTCAAGGAATTAATGTGGTTCCAGAAGTATTTTGTATTTTCACAAACCTTCAGATCTATACCAGAAATATAATTTTCATAATTTAATTTTGATAAAAATTTTTATTGTCAGATGACAATGCGTTGGAAACATTATGTCTTTTTTCAAGTGACTCATCATAGCACCAAAATCGTTAATCTCACTACTCTAGGGATGATCAAATCTCCACTTGTGCAAGTCAGACATGCACAAGTACAAATATAGAATGTCCACAAATCTCATGTCACTTGTACAATTAACATACTTGTGCAAATATTACCAAACACATGCTCCAATATACTTGTGCAATAAACTTGTACATATATACCATTCAAGTATACTGGTACCACTATGGGGGGCCTTAATAAAAATTTGTCGAAACAAAACAGCTAATAAACATTTTTTCGATTTAGTGAATTTTTTAAATTTTTTTTATTTAATGTATCTTAATATTCCTATTCATTGTATCATGATAAGTGAGGTTTTCTTCACCTGTAAGTCAAATGTTACCATCAATCATCTTTAAATCGCCCCGGAGCGCCACAGTAATTAATATTCATAATGGCCATCAGTCAGCTTTAGGAGTTGAAATTCACTCATAAGGGGGTGAATTAGGGAGAGTTATTATTATTATTTTACACATATCGGTAGCTTGTAAATCTTCATACATACTATACAAATTGTACTGACTGAAGGACCTAGGTCCATGCTATTTGGTTGTAAACTTTATAACCAATAAAAAAAATCTGAAGTAGGTATCTGACCTATCTTAACATCGAATTGTAGATTCAAATAACTAACCTTGTTTTTAAAGAAAAGCATAAGTTGATGTGGATTAAGCTCCAGTATTTCTTCTCCTTTACAAACATCTTCAATATGATTTGCTATCCAATTTTCAACAATATCACAAAGTGACTTCAACTTAAAATCCTTGGTAAGAAAGTAAGTAAACAAACAATTTATAACATTAAGTTTTGTTCCCAAAAACTCAACACAGTAATCTATAACTTTAGTTAATAAAAATTGATTTGCCAGCTTCAAAAGTTCTTCAACAATAGTATAATCTACTGTTATTTCTCCGGTGTACATGAAGTTTAGTATAGCATTAAAAGAGTTATTATCTGGACATGATATTGCAATGTGTTCTCTAATAATTTTATGGTTTTTTAGGATAGCATCAAAGTATGGAGAATTACATGCCAGGACGTTGCGGTGAGCTTTTATTACTTTATTGTTAACTGATAAAGTAATATCACAAAATTTACTTGCTTGCTTTTGTTCAAACAATTTCTGGAATAAAATAGCTGAAAAATCTGAGTTTTGAAAAGTTGTTGAGGGATTTTCTGCCATGATAGACCTAAAAAACAGAAAACAAATTATCTATTAAGAGAAAATTTTAATATGAATCGCATTATTTACCTTTCTATTTTAAATTGTCATTCGAAAAAAACATTTTAGAAATTGTAAATATTAAAAAAGGTTTATTTATCAGCCTTTTTTATGAGAAACCCAAACGTCAGCCGTCAGATGACAGATGATCCAGATGACATGACATGTGTCATCCAGACTGAAAGAAAAAGACTGAAACATAGGCGTACTATACTACTATATGGAAGGGTCATTATGAGGGTCACAATGAAATAATAATAATAATAATAATACTCTCCGAATTCACTCCCTTACGAGTGAATTTTTACCCCAAAAGCTGAGCTTGTCCGATGAAAGGGATGATATTTGGCGTAGCGCTCCGGGGCGACTTAAAGATAATTGATGGTGCCATTTGACTTACAGGTGAGAAAAACCCCACCCACCATCATCGAAAACGGTAACGCATGGCGATTTTTAATAATATGGATGTCATATTAACAGAAATTAAATTTCTGCTAATACGGCATCCATCAAATCCTGTAGCGAACCATGTAATTAAATTCACATGGTCTTCCGTAGGATTCGAAACCGTGTCTCGTTTTACCAGAAAATTGGCTCGCAAATGAATGCCACGCCGTAGACACCTATGCATACTGGGCCTATGCTACCATAGTCTATGAAATACTAAATGGACGGTGTGAAAATGGCGTGGAATGTGACCTAAAGAGAGGTGTCTCGTCTAATTTTACTTTTTACTTGTTTAGTTTTTTAAGCTGTTTTTTTATTTCAATATTTACCTATTCACAGCCCAGCCCTATTTGTAATCGAGTTTATAATGAAATGATCTTTAAAGTAAATAAGACAAGAAATTTTAGATTATTTATTTTAAGACAAACTTAACTTTAGGTATGTTCTGGTTCTTCAGAAATATGTTGAAAACTGTCCTAGTACTAGATGACCAGTGGAAAGTTGAAAAGTTTTACACGGCGCATAGTTTGATATTCAACTGTTCCACTGGATCTCGGACGCCCGGATGGTTTGCAGTACATTTTGAAGAAACCAGAACAAGCATTTTATAGAATTCCATGTACAAACACTTTTATGACACACAAAAATAATATGAAACAACAACCTCTACAAAAGAACTCTTCGTTTGTCAAATTTACTCAAATTAACCCAGTCTAAACTACTGAACTATACAGGGTGTCCGGGAAAATGTAGAAGGTCTCTCGGATTCAGATAGAACATTAAATAATAAGATGACAAGTTCCCATAATTTTTTTTTCCTAACGGCCCTCCCTACGGAGTTACGGCCTCCAAAAGGACGCCACTGGAAATCAATTTTTCTTGAATAACTTTCAAACTACGTAATATAATTTAATGAAAATTTAATATGATAAACAGTAGTCAGAACCTCTTAAAATACTGACCAATAATTAGCTTGTTTAGTTTACCAGGGGCGGACTAGGTTATACATTTTAATGCTTACATTTTTAACACCCTGTATGAAAAGGAGTTAAAAAAAATAAATTTCGATACCTTGAACAATAAGCTAAAGAAAAGGTACTCTTCTTCATTTGCCGCGTTTGAATATTCACATCGGATGCATCTGAGATGTTGTGAATTGTTTATCATGTTAATGTAAAAATGTCATCTTAATCTCCGTTTAACACAGCGGTGGAATCATGGTGGAATCGACCCTAAACGAAGATTAAAATGATATTGTTAATGTATTCTTCGTTTAGTAATTTAAACTTAGTTTAACACAAACGGTGGAATCGACCCTTAAAAAATTATACTCTCAGAATTAATTTGGAATATTATGTTTTCATCCTGAACTGACTAAGGACCGATTCCACCGTTGTGTTAAACGGAGATTAAAATGACATTGTTAATGTAAAAATGTAATTTTAAACTTCGTTTAACATAACGGTGGAATCGGTCCTAAAACTTGTAACGATTGAACCTAAATACGCTAATTGGAAATAATCAATTAAAAATTTTATAAGTGGGTTTAACATGTGCTCCGTGAACTCTGATACACTCGCGATCCCGACGAATAGAGGACTTCTGTACTCGCCACAACAACCCAGCATTGTTCCTTATCGCATCACAATGAAATGTGATTCTCTGTAAAAGTTCCTCCCTAGTATCAATCGGAGAGAAATACACCAAGGTTTTGAGCTGACCCCACAGGTAAAAATTCATCGTCGTTAGGTCAGGAGACCGCGTGGAGGCTAAGTAAGGACCGATTCCACCGTTGCGTTAAACAAAGTTTAAAATGACATTTTTACATAAACAATGTCATTTTAATCTCCGTTTAACACAACGGTGGAATCGGCCCTAATTGAACCACCAACATTGATATTAAACTGGATGGCTATATGACATAAACCCTATTCCTAATTTCTAAGCCGACATGGGTAAAAAAAACGATCGGTGCGCATGACAATTTGACACCAGACTGTCAAATTCGAGGATTTACGTCACGTTTCCCACGGGCGTACTACGAAAAGTTATATTATTTAAGTGTTAAATTTAATTTTGATGATCCTTTTTAGTGCATTTCGATACGCACATGTGTGCGCCGAAGTGTCAAATATCAAATATCACCTGCTTTGTTCTTCCAGTTAGTTCAGTAACAACAAGACTAAATTGATCTCACTCTTTTTGGTCGGAGCGTGTTTCCTGAACGCGCTCTTGTCGTTTGTCGAAGCGAAGTGTCAAGTCAAAGCACAAATTTGTCAACAAAAGGATGGACGATTGACGGTAGTGTATTGTTTGTATTTTTTATTATTTACATTTAAAAATTAAAAAGGTAATAATTTTACATAGATGAATGCGTGTGCGTGATAAAAAGTTGTGATCAATGGTATTCATTATATATATTTAAATAGATAAGATGTGCATATTTAATTAAAATTAGAAAGCGTGATACTAAAATTTTGATCGTTCCCATGCAAAATAATTGTAGGAATACGTCATATAATATTAATAGGATTCGATGTTTATTTAATTACCTCCCGAGGTCTAGCAATGTAAGCGAGAATTTTTAAAAACATTAAACGTATCTAGTAATATAGAAGTCTAATTCAGCATTTTATTTAGATCGTCTAGTATAGAATGTGAATTTATACCAATATAGAAAGTTAAATCTGAAAATATGGAAAATTCAGATGAAGACACAGACTTGGACCCTAGAATCCAAATAGAATTGGAAAAATTAAATACAACTACAGATGAAATCAATAAATTAGAAATAGAGTATGATGTAAGTATTGGTAAATTTATATTTTTTATAATTTAAATAAAAATAGCAGTAACGTACATACATTTTTTACATGAATTAATATTATTATTGTTAAACTTCTAGAAATTTTCTAGATTTAGAAAAAAATATCTAATTCTATTATTATTTTCAGCAATTAATTGTCTCATTTCAATTAATTTTTATCGAAATATTTATCAAAAATTAAGTATTACTGTCATCTGAATATGAAATAAGCATAAAATATTTAAGTAAACTTTAAAATCATTAATATAGAACAGAAAAAGAATTTGGTCCAAAACACTACCCTGTGGTAGTAGTAAATAATAATATATTGATGGAATTGTATTTTATATTTAGAAAATGAAGCTGTGAAGTACTTTCATTACTCAGATTTAATTTAAACCAATTATAAACAATGCCTATTTTTTTTTTTTTTGTATAAATTAGGCATCTCCATAAAGACCAAAAATGTGCTGGATCCAGATAGATGACGGCAATTGCAATCCCTAAAGCTATAAAGATAAGGTTGATTAAATAAGACAAAACTTACATGTTTCAAATTCTACTTTAATATAACATACAGTTTCTCCAAGATGTCTAAGATAAATCAACATTGTAGAATATTTTCTTTTTTCTTAATCTGCACCAGTAAACTTTTTGATGTGACGTTATAGTGATGTATAGTGCCACTCATTTAAGATAGAAACAAATTTCTAGAACCCGTATTTTAAAGAAGATTGGAACAATTTTTTTAGGATCGTGAAGTGTCAAAAAATCTATTATTACACAAATCTTCAATAATTAATCTGCATTTTCAAGGCATGCTGTCAAAAAAATTATATTAGGATTTTTTATAAAAAAATTAAGTACACCACTGGATTTGCATGGTCTTAAAATGGCTTACTAAATATGTTTCATAATAAAAAAGTTATAAGAAAATTATTATTATTATTATTATTATTATTATTATTTAAGCCAAAAAAACTCCAATGGCTATACATTATTCTAATAAATCAAATCCTAAAAAAATGGTTCCAATCATGTGTCAAATAGAGGTTCTATAGAAGTAGTTCCATCTTAAATGTATTTGCCTCAATTTTTATTTTTTTAAATATGGATTCTTAACTATGATTCAATCCACTTTAACCTGAACAATAAATATAATTTAGTTACATACCTTTAAACTACTCAAAACCACTTCGAAAATTTTCAATTTTTAAATGGCAACACTATACTTTTGATTTTTTTTTTTAAATTTGGAAATAAATGTAAACTAATGTATTTCCAGGTGATTTAAAAACTTCAACAATAATAATAATAATAATCTTTTATTCCATTGAGACCATTTACATGATATTGGAAAAGTCAAGTAGAACATTAAAAAAGATATGTAGTATATAAGTGTGTGTACAACAATTTTAAAACAAAATACAAAGCTAAATAAAAATACTAAGATAAATAAAAATACAAAGATAAATAAAAGTAGAAAGATAAATAAAAATGCAAAGATAAATGAAAAGTAATAAAAGTTGCAATCCAAAAATTCAGCTATATTATAAAATGCATATTGTGACAAGAGATCTTTGAGAGATTTTTTAAATGCATTAAAATTTTGATTTTCTTTTAAGGAGATTGGTAGTTTATTATATAACTGTATACCAGTATAAGATGGGCTCTTTTCAAAAAACGCTGTCTGGCGAGGGGGTATACCATGTCTAGTCTGATAGTTATGATTATCAGCACTTTTAATGAAGTCGGTCAGTTTCTTTCTAATGAATAGAATATTTTTATAGATGTAAATACAGGGAAGAGTTAATATTTTGTATTGTTTAAAGTAATCTCTACAAGAGGTGCGCCTATGAATCCCGAGAATAAGAATAATATTACTTTTTTTGTAAAATAAACAATTTTGTAGAAAATCTAGTGTTTTCCCATATTATAAAATTATAAGACAAATGTGAGTATGTCATTGCATAGTAGATATTTATTAGTTGTTGTTGTGAGAATATATTTTTAAGTTGTAAAATTGCATAGTAACTGCTACATACTTTCTTAGAAATATGATCAGTACACTCCTGAAATAAGAGAGATGAGTCAAGAATAGTGCCAAGGAATTTTGTTGTCTCAGAGGATGTCATAGTAAGATATTCAGTATGTATTTCAAAAGGTTTGTTAGAGTCATTTGAAATGTGAAATTTTATTAATACTGTTTTTCCATGGTTAAGAATTAAATGGTTGTTCAAACACCATTCCTTAAATCTATTATAGAGTTGACTTAATTTATCTGCTAGTCTTCAGGGGAATTACCATAAGTTGCGAAGGAAACATCATCAGCATATATAATAATAATAATAATATTGATTTACCAAATAATTACATATTATGTAAGGTTAACAATGTAAATTATAAAAATGTAAAATATAAGCCATATTAGGAAAAATAAATATGATAGTCCCACAGAAGAGCAAGTCTGTGCGTGGGATTAACTATAAATAATTAGTGTCTCTGACAAGTGTTTTTATAATACTTTCATCGAATTAACATATTGCAGGACTCACTATAGATTAATACTAATAACCATCTAATAATAATAACAATAATAATATTAATAATAATAATTAAAAATAATAATACCAATAACAATACAACAATAGTAATAATAATAACTATAATAATTAATTATTATAACTTTTTGGGACACGTAATACATGATTATAAGAGGAACAAAAAAAATTTTTTTTTAGATTTTCTTTTTTTGTTTCTTTTTATTTTCAATTTTTTTTTTTTTATTTATTTATTTATTTACCCTCAATTAAGACGTGGATATCTGAGCAACTTAATGTATTACACCACTTTTTGACAAGTTTTTTGAATAAGTTAAAGTGATTAGGATTTTTTATTTCTGAGGGGACTAGATTATAACATTTTGGCCCTAAATATAGATATGATCTTTGTAATAAATCTTTTTTTGCCCTGATGACGGAGAAAACATCATTTGACCTATACCTGGTAGGGTATTGGTGATGAATTTTGGTTAATTCCTTTCGATTTTTGTGTTGATGTATAACGAGATTTACAAAATATAATTGTCGAATATCTTGAATTTTGGTTTCACTATAAAGTGTACTACTAGTATATAATCTTGGTTTTTTGAATATTATTTTGAGTATATACTTTTGAATAACCTCTAATTTGTGTATGTGTACCTTATATGTACCTCCCCAGGCAAGATAAATGGCTTTGAAATAGTGAGTAATATATTATTTTCAGTTGCTCTGTATCGTAATACCTAGTTAAATATTTTAATTTATAATTGACTGTTCGTAGTTTTTTAGTAAATATTTGATGTGTATATCCCATTTTAGGTGTGAATCTAGTATTAATCCTAAGTATTTTATCTTCGAAACAGATCTAATGTCCACCCTTTCTCCATCAAAATCTATTGACAAAGTAGTATATTGGGGCAAATAACTGGAATATGAAGCAAATGCCATGAAGTGAGTTTTGTCTGTATTAATTGTAAGTTCTTTTTGATCAAACCATTTGATTATGTTTGCGAAATCTATTTCTACTAGACTTTTTAGATCTTGCCAATTTTTGTCTTGATATATTACAGCCGTATCATCGGCAAAACTCACTATGCGACCCTTGCTATTTATTTTAAAGATGTCATTTAGATATAGATTAAACAACAGGGGACCCAGGACAGTTCCCTGAGGAACACCGTATTCACTCGTTAGAAAGGTACTTTTAGTGTCGTCTATTTTAACGCATTGTTTTCTGTTTTGAAGATAACTCTCCATAAGCTTGTACGGTGTTCCCCTAAATCCTATTCCATCCAAAACTTCCATAAGCTGAATGTGACTAATGGTATCAAAAGCTTTCTTTAGATCTACAAATATACATATGGTAGACAAACCAGAATCGATACTTTTGACAATGTCGTTTGTGAGTGATACAAGTGCATCATTTGTTGATTTTCCTTCTGTAAAACCAAACTGGTTTGTCGACAATATATTATATTTTATTAGATACGAGTTAATACGTTTCTTCAAGGGCTTCTCAAATATTTTCGCAAGACACGAGATTAGTGATATAGGACGGTAATTGGTCACATCCAGCCTATCTCCATTTTTGTAGATCGGCGTTACGACGGCGGATTTAAACGCTTCTGGACACCGACCTATTTTAAATGCCATATTTATGATATAAGCTAGTGGTTCTGCAATTTTAGAAGAAATATGTTTTAAATCATCTGCCCTGATAGTATCTAATCCTGGACTTTTTTTGTTTGTCAAGCCTTTGATTATATCAATAATTTCATTTGCTGTAGCGTCCTTTAAAAAGAATGAATTTTTTAAATTCGTTTTAGGGAATTTTTGTTGTCTATTTCTTCTATGTTTGTTCTTATTTGCAAGTGATTTACCAACATTTGGAAAGTATTTGTTGAATGAATCAGTAATTATTGTTTTGTCAGATGTAACTAGATCATTATCAGTTTTTATTTCACTTATACTTTGAGTTTTATATATTTTTTTATTTGTTAAGTTATTTATGGATCTCCATAGTTTACTAGAATCAGACTTGTTTATTTCCAAATCTTTTTGATGGTACATTCTTTTTGCGTTTTCTACTAATTTGCCAAATATGTTTTTGTGCCTGTTATACTCATTTATGTTCTCTTTAGTAGGATTATTTTTCATTTTATTGTAAATCTTTTGTTTTGTAATAGCTGATTTTAGTAAACCGTTTGTCATCCATGCATTTCTTTTTATTTGATTTCGTTTAAGTGGTATTTTATTAGAGCTATTTTCAATAATTTTTCTGATTTTTAATATTAAGTTATCAGTAGCAGTGTCAACATTGTTTATTGAATATATGTCTTCCCATTTTTCATTAGATGCATTATAAATCTTTGTATGCGTGAAAATGGTGAACATTTTGAACAATTTTTGTAAAATCTCTATTTTGATTATGTTGTAAATAAATATTTTTGTGAA